ATTTCAACATATTTCAATGGTATTTCAACATATTTATGTATTTCAATGATTTTGATTATTAAAAGGTATTTCAACATATTTCAATGGTATTTTATTTCAATGTAAATGATTTTGATTATTAAAAAGGTATTTCAACATATTTCAATGGTATTTCAACATATTTCAATGTATTTCAATGATTTTGATTATTAAAAAGGTATTTCAACATATTTCAATGGTATTTCAACATATTTCAATGTATTTCAATGATTTTGATTATTAAAAAGGTATTTCAACATATTTCAATCATATTTCAATGTATTTCAATGATTTTGATTATTAAAAAGGTATTTCAACATATTTCAATGGTATTTCAACATATTTCAATGTATTTCAATGATTTTGATTATTAAAAGGTATATTTCATAAGGTATTTCAATTTTATTTCAACATAATGTATTTCAATGATTTTGATTATTAAAAGGTATTTCAAACATATTTCAATGGTATTTCAACATATTTCAATGTATTTCAATGATTTTGATTATTAAAAAGGTATTTCAAACATATTTCAATGGTATTTCAAATATATTTCAATGTATTTCAATGATTTTGATTATTAAAAGGTATTTCAACATATTTCAATGGTATTTCAACATATTTCAATGTAAATGATTTTGATTATTAAAAGGTATTTCAACATATTTCAATGGTATTTCAACATATTTCAATGTATTTCAATGATTTTGATTATTAAAAAGGTATTTCAACATATTTCAATGGTATTTCAACATATTTCAATGTATTTCAATGATTTTGATTATTAAAAAGGTATTTCAACATATTTCAATGGTATTTCAACATATTTCAATGTATTTCAATGATTTTGATTATTAAAAAGGTATTTCAACATATTTCAATGGTATTTCAACATATTTCAATGTATTTCAATGATTTTGATTATTAAAATATTTCAATATATTTCAATGTATTTCAACATATTTCAATGATTTTGATTATTAAAAGGTATTTCAACATATTTCAATGGTATTTCAACATATTTCAATGTATTTCAATGATTTTGATTATTAAAAAGGTATTTCAACATATTTCAATGGTATTTCAACATATTTCAATGTATTTCAATGATTTTGATTATTAAAAAGGTATTTCAACATATTTCAATGGTATTTCAACATATTTCAATGTATTTCCAATGATTTTGATTATTAAAATAAACATATTTCAATGGTATTTCAACATATTTCAATGTATTTCAATGTATTTTTTTTTATTAAAAAGGTATTTCAAATGGTATTTCAACATATTTCAATGTATTTCAATGATTTTGATTATTAAAAGGTATTTCAACATATTTCAATGGTATTTCAACATATTTAAAATTTCAATGATTTTGATTATTAAAAAGGTATTTCAACATATTTCAATGTATTTCAATGATTTTGATTATTAAAAAGGTATTTCAACATATTTTCAATGGTATTTCAACATATTTCAATGTATTTCAATGATTTTTTGATTATTAAAAAAAGGTATTTCAACATATTTCAATGGTATTTCAACATATTTCAATGTATTTCAATGATTTTGATTTTGATTATAAAAGGTATTTCAACATATTTCAATGGTATTTCAACATATTTCAATGGTATTTCAATCAATGATTTTGATTTTGATTATTAAAAGGTATTTCAACATATTTCAATGGTATTTCAACATATTTCAATGTATTTCAATGATTTTGATTTATTTCAAAATTTCAATGGTATTTCAAAAGGTATTTCAACATATTTCAATGGTATTTCAATGATTTTGATTATTAAAAGGTATTTCAACATATTTCAATGATATTTCAATGTATTTCAATGATTTTGATTATTAAAAGATTATTTTCAACATATTTCAATGGTATTTCAACATATTTCAATGTATTTCAATGATTTTGATTATTAAAAGGTATTTCAACATATTTCAATGGTATTTCAACATATTTCAATGGTATTTCAACATATTTCAATGTATTTCAATGATTTTGATTATTAAAAAGGTATTTCAACATATTTCAATGGTATTTCAACATATTTCAATGTATTTCAATGATTTTTTGATTATTAAAAGGTATTTCAACATATTTCAATGGTATTTCAACATATTTCAATGTATTTCATAAATGATTTTGATTATTAAAAGGTATTTCAACATATTTCAATGGTATTTCAACATATTTCAATGTATTTCAATCAAAACATATGCTACTTGAAAAAAAAAATATTCACAGGACCTGTATAAAAAAAAAAAAACAAAACAGAAGTCTAATTGGAAATAACTGCATCACATTCCTAGATAAAATATAAACATCACTGCAAACAATGAATATTTTGGTATTTTCTATAGTTTTGACATGGGTCATTAACATTCAAATAATTCTTCAGACAAAATAACATTGTTTTTGTTTAATTTTTTTCAACACTTCCAAGGTTAACCATAACCATAAAACTATAACCTTGATCATAAAACTAAATAATATAGTTGAAATTGATTATTTCTTTTTTCATGGTTTTGATTCAACACAAATCGATTTCAACACAAATTTTAAACTAAAAGCTCCCTCAATTTTCAAGCAATGTAATACAAACTCCACTCAATTGTAGCCAACAATAAATTAATAGTTTAACAGTCATTCAACTTGATAATTGAGTCCACCCATATAGTGAAAACTTGCATAAATAGTGTAAAATGGTGATTTTTACTGGTTTCTTTCTTATTTTTTGTTGATCTTTCAACCAATTTTCATCAAACAATTGCTTTATAAATGTATCCTCTTTTACATCCCTGGTAGCGTACTGAAAAATCGAATTTCAAAAATTCCAAATAATTGAGGTCTGAAGTGGGTCTTCATGTTGCTTGTTTTACCTCTTCATGTTGTTGGCTAATTTTGATTGAATAAATACAAACTAGTTCTGTTATATTGGTCACTGCATTAATTCAAAATGTTTTCTTATGAAAGTAGTTTAAGTAATTGAAGAAGATAGATTATGTTATATTTAAGCATATGATGCTTTTCTTTCTCCATTGTAATTTAACACATTTTCTGATCGACCAACTGGGTATGGCTTCTCAAGAGCTCCTCTTTGTGACTACTTGGCCTCACATTGACTGCTGACCTGAGATGGAACAAATACATTGAGTCAATAGCTTCGTCTACCATAAGGAAAGTTGGCTCCCTGTGCCGCGCCAGGAAATTTTTCTCGCTGGAGTCAATCCTTCAAATCTACAAATCAACAATTCGCCCTTGCATGGAGTATTGCTGCCATATATGGTCTGGTGCCCTTTCTGTTTGTCTCAAGGTTCTTGATAAGATCCACAGACAGATATGCAATGTAATTGACCCTGATCTGGCATCTCATCTACAGTCACTCTCTCACAGACATGCTGTTGCCTCCCTCTGTCTTTTTTACAAATACTTTCATGGTAACTACTCGGAGGAGCTGCTTTTGCTGGTTCCCAAACTTCATGAATTTAAGCATTCTACTAGGCTGGCATCTCGCTCTCACCATTTCACTGTCAAAACTGTTAAATGTAGCCATCTCTTCTACTCCAATAGCTTCATGTCTCACACCTTTCACCTGTGGAACTCCCTGCCCTCTTCCTGTTTCCCTGATAGCTATAATCTTCAACTATTTAAATGTAATGTCAATCGACTTCTCCAGATGCCTTGATCTATCCATTATCCTTCTCTTCAACCTTTTCTCTATCATTCCTATTTGGACTCACTCCAACTCTCTGTAACCCCTTGCGTGCTAGTGGCTTCCCACCTTGCTTGGGGTGAAATGCTTAGAAAAAAATAAATTATTTCAACTGTTACTGAAAACACAACTTTTGCCTTGTTCTTTTTTGATAGCATTGTTTGAATTGTATTTCATATTTTGTTTCCTTTCACTTATCAAAAGGCATTATTTTTGTTAGTGAAAGACAATTTATCTAGGGCCAGAATTAAGTGTGATTATCAACTCTGCCAAAATCTTTTGGAAGTCATTTTTTGCTATTCCAATATGACCCTCTTTATTTCTTTATATATATATATATAAATTAGATAAAATAATGTTTAATCAGCTAAAATCTACCTTAAAATATCACTTGACACAGTGCAGCTACAATACAGTGTGTAATGTGCTAGAAAATTGTATTTTTAAATAAAGAGTGATACATGTAATTTTTTTTTTAAAGCATTTCACCTCTATGAATAATGCATTCAAAGATATTTTTTCTGTTTTCATTCTTTTTCCCCTTTTGAAAAACCAAAAATAATCCCATATGATGACCCAAGAGATCAACAAACACTCAAATTCCTTCAACCCATACATATCTCCGATTTTTCCTTCAACCTTTTCTCAATAAGCAACATAAAATCTCCAAACCGATTCCACATCTCACTTTTACCATTCCTCATAAATTCCTTGATATTATCCTACTTAAATCTTTCATGCTGTTTAGCACCACAGGATTTGGTGCCATTTGATATGTTCTGAATAGTAATCTGTCATAAAGCAACATTGAATTACTCTTACACATATTTCCCTTAAGCAACAGATACTATACTGAAAATATATATATATATATATATATATGTATGTATGTATATATGTGTATGTGTATGTATATGTGTGTGTATGTGTTTGTATGTGTTTGTGTATGTGTGTGCGTGAGTGCGTGTGTGTGTGTGTGTGTGTACATGTATGACTGCTGTGTTTTATTGTAATTCATGTGGTTTCTTTTTTCAGGAGAGTTCCCAATGCTTGGAGCCTCTAAGAAACAAACTACAATGAATATTTATGGACAGAATTGAAATTTACTTTTGTACTGATTTTATTTCTTTTTTATAGAAGCTTTTGAGAGCCTGTTTTATATTACATAGATTTATGGATATTTTTGTAACCGTAAAATGATACTAAGATATTTGCTTCTATATAAGAGTGTGTTTACGTTTACATATCTATCAGGATTTGTCTCTGTTTATCTGTATTTTTTTTCTCTCTCTCTGTTTCTAGATGCCTGGCTCAGGCACATTTGTATCTCACTGTTTGTCTCTCTGACTATCTCTGTCTCTCTTTGCCTGTATCTGTCTGTCTGTTTCTCTCGCGTTCTTTGTATGTCTGCCTCTCTCTCTCTGTTTCTTTGGGTTATCAAATACCTGCTCAGGAACATTTGTATCTCACTGTCTGTCTCTCTGTCTGTCTCTCTCTCTGCCTGTCTCTGTCTCTCTTTGCCTTTGTCTGTCTGTCTCTCTCTCGCTTCCTTTGTATGTCTGCCTCTCTCTCTGTTACTTTGTGCTTTCAAATACCTGCTCAGGCACATTTGTGCCTCACTGTTTGTCTCTCTGTCTGTCTTTGCCTGTGTCTGTTAGTCTTTCTCTGTGTTCGTCTATCTCTCTCTCTCTCTCTCTCTCTGTCTTTGCCTATTTTTCTCTCTTTCTCTGCCTGTGTTTGTCTGTCTGTCTTTCTCTCTGTTTCTCTTTCTCTCTGTGTTTTCAAGTGTCTGCTCAGGCACATTTATGTCTCTCTCTGTTTCTCTGTGTCTCTCTGTTTATCTCTGTCTCTCTGTCTCAGTGCCTGTCTCTATCTCACTTTGCCTGTGTTTGTCTCTCTCTGCCTGTGTCAGTCTGTCTCACTGCTTCTCTCTCTCTCTCTCTCTCTCTCTCTCTCTCTCTGCCAATGTGTGTCTCTCTCCCTGCCTGTGATTCTCTCTTTCTCTGCCTGTGTCTGTCTGTCTGTCTCTCTCTCTCTGCATATGTGTGTATGTATCTCTCTATTTCTCTGCCTGTGTGTGTCTGTTTGTCTGTCTCTCTCTCTCCACCTGTGTTTGTGTTGTGTACCTCTCTACCCGCCTGAATCTGCCTATCTCTCTCTACTGCCTGCTCTTTCTCTTTCTGACTCTCTCTCAATCTACCTTTGTGTGTATCTCTCTCTCTCTGTGTCTGTATCTCTCTCTCTCTCTCTCTCTCTCTGTGCCTCTCTCTTTCTTTACCTGTTTCTGTCACTCTGTTTCTATTCATGCCGACCTATTCCTGTCAAACTATTTCTCCACCTCTAGTATGGTTCCTTCTCAGTATGTACATCACTCTTACTTTCACTCTATCATAGTATGTATATCTCTATGGTTCCCTCCCTCATTCTCTTTGTATCTATATTTTTTCTTTGTTATCTGCTGATTTTACAGTGGCTTGGTATATTACATTGTTCTGCAAGCAATTACTGTTTAAGGAATATTCTTTCTTTCTTCTGCAGTTACATATAGATCTAATTTGTTCAGTTGGGTTGTTGGTTGTTTTCCTGTTCTTATTATTTGTATTGTGTCCTTGGTGCAACTGTAGCTGATTTTTACTGTGTTTTCATTGAATATTTTTGTGGAGAGTGCTTGATGCAGAGAAGTGTTTGTGTATGAGTTTGATGAATATTTTAATCATATTTGTTTTTACATTTTTGTTGTAGTGAGTTGAATCATGTTTCTTTTCCTGTTGGCTTTTTTTTGTGCTGTGTGGGGTGTTACTGGGAATCCACTATCTTTATTTCAGTCTGTTTCATAGTCTTTCTTGGCTTAGTTTAATATGGTTTCATTAGAAAAATTGTCGGAAAAATTTCTCAAAGTTAACCTGTAGAAAAAGACAATATTTATAAATGTAAAAGACAATAGGAAAACTCTAATGGTAGCCAACATGTTTTGTCCAATGTGGACTTTTTCAAGGAAAAAAAAACCCCAAAATGAATTTATTAAACAAAGTAACTAATAATAACAAAACAAAATGTCCTTAGCAACTGGAAGAATTTAGAGAATGCTATTTTCATACTGTTAACTGAAAAAATTGTTTTTTTGCCTTGAAAAAGTCCAGATTGGATGAAATGCATATCAAGTACCATTACAGTTTTCCTATTGTCTTTTACATTTATAAATATGTACATATATATATAAAATTTCTAAAGAAGTAATAAATATTCTATTTATTAATCCAACAGATTTTATCAATTTAAACCTTATTTTTAATGGATACTCAAATATATAATATTTTATCAATAATCAATATTAATTCATTATCACTAATACCTATTTTCTACCTGATTTTAATAGATATCTTAATTGAAATAATTTGTAAAACATTCCTCTGTTAAAAGTATTTATCATTATTAGCTGTTTTTACTTATAAGGAAACATTTGGCATTTAATGACCAAGCATCCAGCACTACGTTCAGTTGAAATTTATCAAATCTTTTTATTAAAACAGTTTTTCAGTTCATTGTTATTACTTTTCCAGTACTAATAGGGAGTTTCCTTCCTAACTTTTTGTTTGGGGTCATGTGGAATGTCAACATCTTGATTATGTCATTATTTTCTCATCATATACATTTTAGTTGTTGCTATTGTTGGCAGTCGTTACTGCTATTTAGTACAGATCATTGTGAATGTGTAGCACCAGGCCATGTAATTCAAAGAATGGTAGTCTTTGCTAAAACCTATAGGCTTCAACAATACAATATGAAAATGGAAATACTGACACTTATTTTATTTCTACTATTATCTTATTAAAAGGTTTCATTTTATATGTTTATAGTTACATTTATCAAGACACTGAGACAAGACACTGTTTGACCACAATAAATGTAATAAAAGAAAATGAAATTACTTACAATGTATTTCCACTATATTTTTTTTTTTTTAAGCATTTCACCCCAAGCAAGGTAGGAAGCCACTAGGACGCAAGTGGTTACAGAAAATTTAGAGCAAGATCAGATAGGAGTGATAGAAGAAAGGATGAGGGTAGTGGATAGATCAAGGCAACTGGAGATGTCGATTGACATTACACTTGAATAGCTGGAGATTATAGCTCACAGGGAAACAGGAATAGGGAAAGTTCCACAGGCAGGAGGTGCGGGACATGAAGCTATTAGAGTTGACCTATATTTAGGGTTTCAACAGTGAAGGGATGAGGATGCCAGGACTGGAACTCTCGTGGCGATCTGGGAAATGCAGCTCTCGGAGATCTTATTAAAGGTTTCATTTTATATGTTTATAGTTACATTTAAGTGAGACAAGACACTGTTTGACCACAATAAATGTAATAAAAAGAAAATGAAATTACTTACAATGTATTTCCACTATATTTTTTTTTTTTTAAGCATTTCACCCCAAGCAAGGTGGGAAGCCCACTAGGATGCAAGGGGTTCAACAGTGGATAGATGAAGATTGACATTACACTTGAATAGCTGGAGCTCACAGGGAAACAGGAATGTTCCCAGCCTGTGAGGCTATATTTAGGAGTTTCAACAGTGAAGGGATGGATGCCAACCTCTGGGAACGTGGCGATCTGGGAACCAGCGAATGCAGCTCCTCGGAGATCTTATTAAAAGGTTTCATTTTATATGTTTATAGTTACATTTATCAAGACACTGAGACAAGACACTGTTTGACCACAATAAATGTAATAAAAGAAAATGAAATTACTTACAATGTATTTCCACTATATTTTTTTTTTTTTAAGCATTTCACCCCAAGCAAGGTGGGAAGCCACTAGGACGCAAGGGGTTACAGAAAATTTAGAGCAAGATCAGATAGGAGTGATAGAAGAAAGAATGAGGGTAGTGGATAGATCAAGAGCAACTGGAGATGTCGATTGACATTACACTTGAATAGCTGGAGATTATAGCTCACAGGGAAACAGGAATAGGGAAGGGAGTTCCACAGGCGAGAGGTGCGGGACATGAAGCTATTAGAGTAGAAGTGACGGCTATATTTAGGAGTTTCAACAGTGAAGGGATGAGAGCGGGATGCCAGACTCGTGAGGCGCTGGAACTCGTGACGTCTGGGAACCAGCGAATGCAGCTCCTCGGAGATCTTATTAAAAGGTTTCATTTTATATGTTTATAGTTACATTTATCAAGACACTGAGACAAGACACTGTTTGACCACAATAAATGTAATAAAAAAAAAATGAAATTACTACAATGTATTTCCACTATTTTTTTTTTTAAGCATTTCACCCCAAACAAGGTGGGAAGCCACTAGGGGATGCAAGGGGTTACAGAAAATTTAGAGCAAGATCAGATAGGAGTGATAGAAGAAAGAATGGGTAGTGGATAGATCAAGAGCAACTGGAGATGTCGATTGACATTACACTTGAATAGCTGGAGATTATAGCTCACAGGGGAAACAGGAATAGGGAAGGGAGTTTCAACAGTGAAGGCGAGAGGTGCGGGACATGAAGCATTTATTAGGACCACAATAAAGTAATAAAAAGTGACACAATGTATTTCCACTATATTTTGAGGAAGCCACTAGGACAAGGGAGAAAATTTGAGCAGGACAGATAGGAGTGATAGAAGGAATGAGGGTAGTGGATAGATCGGCAACTGGAGATGTCGATTGACATTACACTTGAATAGCTGGAGATTATAGCTCACAGGGAAACAGGAATGGGGAAGGGAGTTGGAGCGGGATAGAAGTGATGGCTATATTTAGGAGTTTCAACAGTGAAGGACGCCTGGGGTGACGTCTGGGAACCAGCGAATGCAGCTCCTCGGAGATCTTATTAAAAGGTTTCATTTTATATGTTTATAGTTACATTTATCAAGACACTGAGACAAGACACTGTTTGACCACAATAAATGTAATAAAAAAAAATGAAAATTACTTACAATGTATTTCCACTATATTTTTTTTTTTTTAAGCATTTCACCCCAAGCAAGGCGGGAAGCCACTAGGACATGAGGGTTACAGAAAATTTAGAGCAAGATCAGATAGGAATGATAGAAGAAAGGATGAGGGTAGTGGATAGATCAAGGCAACTGGAGATGTCGATTGACATTACACTTGAATAGCTGGAGATTATAGCTCACAGGGAAACAGGAATAGGGAAGGGAGTTCCACAGGCGAGAGGTGCGGGACATGAAGCTATTAGAGTAGAAGAGACGGCTATATTTAGGAGTTTCAACAGTGAAGGGATGAGAGCGGGATGCCAGCCTCGTGAGGCACTGGAACTCGTGACGTCTGGGAACCAGCGAATGCAGCTCCTCGGAGATCTTATTAAAAGGTTTCATTTTATGTGTCTATAGTTACATTTATCAAGACCACAATAAATATAATAAAATCCAAAATAATGAACTAACATCTATAGAAAATATATGTAAGCATGTCAAGACTAGAGGATTTTGAACATAAAATAAAGAATTCTTCAAATATGCAAAGACATGCAAAGTGTATATGCACAATGTTCAACTCTCTTGCACATTTTGAGTAGCACTAGATGTATGTATAATAAAAATATAGAACTTCTATCAAAATGCATAAAGCTAATAGAATTTAACATTTTTCATGGCAAGCAGAATTTTTTTAGAAAAATCGTCAGTAGAGAAATGGCACAACAATTGCCATTAATTTAATATAGAGTCAAATGATTAACATTTCAACCAACTTTAAATTTTCACAGATATACTGCTTATCAGCATCAGAAAGTTAGAAAAATCTGTTGAATTCTTCTTTCTTTTATGTGCTGTTTCCTTTAGTATGTACATGGTCATAGCACTCCACATCTTTCTGTCTTTTATAGCTCTTAATAATAATAATAATAAATATTATCTTTATACTATTACTCCCAAACCCTATTCTGCCATCCATTTAATCAAGTTCAAGTATATTACATGCTGCTTTTCTCTTGCCCTCAATATGTTCTTTGAGTATCAGATTTTCCAAGCCTTCCTTCCACATCATGTGACCTAGAAATTTCAACTGCCACTTCCTGATATCTAGATGCCAATCTAGTATAGAACTTATATTTATAAAGTTTAGGTGCCAAAGCAGAAAGCTCATCAGAGCAATTACTATAAAAATATTTATAGAAAAGGCACAGGGAAGCTATGTTAAGGCAGTGGGAAAGGGACTTAAGCTGAAATGCCAGGTCAGGAGTGCTAACATTGCAGATTCTTTTTTTGGGTTTTAGTAACAATTTCTAAATATGCAGAGGATGCACCAGACCAGAAGTGGCAGCAATATTCAATGCATGGATAAATGGTAGAATTATAATTACGTAAGATAGATTCTGGCA